AATTTCAGTGAATCTAAATTATTTTCTAAGCTATAGAATGTTATGTTCCCATGTTGATTTTTTATAGCCTGGTAATCAGCTACTGCTACGCAAGGAAGGTAAGGAGACATCTTCAAAGATCTTTCAAAGTGAGTGATAATTCTGCCATCCGGTAATAATTGACGACTTTTTTCAGGCATGTTAGATAACGCCGTATAATTTGGAAAATGTTTTACGGATATTTCAAACTGAGCTTTAAATCCTGGCTCGTCCCAGCATGGAAATGCGCTACGAGCTCCTGAAGGTTCAAAGTGAGTTGTAACAAGGTACCTAAAAAAAAAAAAACTTTTAGTTTTTATAATACAAACAATTGCACTAAAATTACCAGACAATTTTTTTATTTTTCTTTAAAAATAAACTAAGTCTAATAAATTATTTTTAACAAATTTCATTTATAATTTTTAGAGCTTTTAAAGATAGAATTTTCTAAATAAATTTTTTCTTGCTACAATTTATTTGTTTAAAAAATTCTAAAAATTATTAAATGTCTTTTTATTTATGAAAATTAAATTAGCCGACATCTAAAAATTTTTATAATTTATTTTATTCAAAAAATTATGAAAAAATAATTTCGCAAGTTGAAGATTTTAAAAATTATCCGTGCAATTTTTTTCAAGTAGTTTTTTTTACTTGTACATTAATTTATAAAAAAATCAAAAATCATTCTCAATTTATGATACTAAAATTAGCCGACGTTCAACATTTAATTTTTTTTATTAATTACAAGTAATAAAAATTGCACAGATAATTTTTCAAATCTTCAACTTGTTAAATTTTTTTACAATAATTTTTTCAATAAAAAACAATTTATAAAAATTTTCACGTGTCGGCTTTAATTTTCATTTTTAATTTTATTATCATTACATAAAAATAACAATAAAGTTAGCCGACATTTAAAAATTGTTAGAATATTTATTATTGAAAAAATCATTACGAAAAAAAAATTTTTAGTTCTAATTTAATAAATTAAACAGGCTAATTTATCATTGTAAATAAAAACTTCTACTAACTTTTTATGAAAGGGACTTATTCTATCAACAGCTCGGAAGAAACCCATGCGTTGATTAAACCAATCTTCAGCAGCATCACGACCCGTCCATTTCATTTTAAGCGTATAGTTTCCAGGTTCTAATATTTTTTGGAAGCTAATTGCATAAGACTCATTATGAGCGTGCCAGATTTGTGACTCCGGTTTAAAAGATTCCTCATTTTTATCCACAAGTTCAGTAAAGTCTTTGTCTATACTTATCTTATTAGACTTATGAAGAATCACCGTGGGTGTAGATCGAAGCACTTCAAAAATAACTGAACCATTTCCCTTGAATGTAAATGATTCACCCATGAAATCTGGATCAAATTCAATTACATACACTCGCGGTGCTGTGTTATGCGGCAATCGATAATTCATTTGCTTGTTCACTGTTGATTCTTGAATTAACTTGGATAATTTGCTTTTTGAAATAGGTGGTCCTCTATCCAGAGGAATTATCGCCATCGCACACATTATTACTCCAGATAAAATAATTAATATTTTATTCATTTTATTCTTGTTTTTTAAGAGGAACACGGACAATTTTTACAAAAACTGTTTGGTCTTAATTTAAAGTTAAAGTTGGACTAACTTTATCAGCGATTCAATGAATGCATTTTAAAAGTGTCTAAACCTTGATAAACATTTTCATAATTCATTTATGATTATGTTACCGTGACTTACCGGATGTTGTTGAGGTGATGCTACCAATTTATTAATGTTTGGATGCTACTTTACGTAATTAAATTTGTAAGTTAATTAAATCAACAAGGTATTGTCGGAAAGTGTTAGTAGAGAGGAAGAAAGAAGATTTATCAATGTTACCAAAAATTTTTATGATTATTTATTTATATATTTATTTATTTGTGACTTATACATTTATGATAACAATAATATATTTTAAGTGAAGTTTGAATTTAATATAAATAAAAAAAATGAAAATGGTAATATTGCATATGAATTAGTTATTTAATATATTATAAAAATAATATTTTATAATATCATATTATAAAAATGATTCTCAAATTTGGAGACTTTTGATAATTTTTTTATAAGTCTATTTCAGTAAAAAAATTCCACATGTAGGAATTAAAAAAAATCAATAAAAGATTTTTTTAAAAATAAAATAAATAAAAATTTTTTTATTTAATACTATAATTTTTGCAGTATATTATCATAATCATCAATTATAAAATTTTGGATCACAAGTTCTCGGAATTTATTAGAAATTTTATCAATAACTTTAATAGTTATTTGAGCCTCTCTTAATAAACTGCTAAGCGGTGTCGGTGCTTCCAAAAAAATATCTTCAAATTTATCCTTGTTTACCTTAATGAATCTGTCCATCTGTAAAATAATTTTAAAGTTATTATTTTAGAATTTTTAAAATACAAGATAATGACTTTTTATATTTTACCTAATGAACATTTAATTAAGTTATAATAGCTTCTAAAATATTGAAAATATCTCCACAGTATAAAAATGTTTTTTCTAGGAAATTTTATAAGCTACAATTTTGAATTTTTTGATAAAATTAATATTTCAGAAGTTATAGCCAAATTTTCAAGTAATAGAAAATCTAACGCGCTTTGCGCGCTTCTGTCAAAATGTTTATTATCGACAATTTAACTAATCAATATTTTTACAAATTTTATTCATTTATATTCAATCGTTGTCAATAATAACATTAAAAAAAGGCCATTCGGCAGCCGAAGTGGAAGTAGATTTCATAATAAATATAAAAAAAACTAGCAGGATTGTATACAAAAAAAAAATTAATGACACCAAAACGAATGCAAAAAAAGTAGGTAATTTTTGGACTAGACTGATAATGAGGTATGCAAATTAAAGCTTATTTAATAAGCTTTCAGATGCAATTTACAGAAATTTGATGGTACGTCGCGTTCGATTGTTATCCCACTGAAATACGGAAAAAGTAAAAATTTTTGTAATTTTCAATCATTTTTGAATTGCTGTCATTCCTACACTATTTACTTTAGAAAAATAGATAAGTATGCAAATTAAAGCTTATTAAATAACCTTTCAGGTTCAATTCACAGAAATTGAATATAATATCTCGTTTAATTGTTATTTCACGGAAATACGGTAAAAGTGAAAATTTTTGTAATTTTTGAAAATTTTTGAATTGCTCCCATTTTTAAACTTAGTCGACCGATTTCGCTCATCTTCGAACTTAACCTCGGAAAGGGTCCTAAGAATAAGTATGTTACGTTTTAATAAGATCCATACAGAATTGCGGGAGTTAGAGAAGAGACAAGGCCGGTT